GGGGCGGCGGAGCGGGAGACTTCATTTTGGGGGCAGCGGAGGCATGAGGGCGGTACTTTGGAGGGAGGTCCCCGACCCGTGACAGGATGGCCGCTTCTGTCAATCAGGCGGCTCGCACACACAGACCCTGGCGGCTTTCAATCAGCACTTCGCCCCCCTTTTCGGACTCGTACATGCGCAGGGGCACTTCCTTGCTCACACCCCCAAGAGGGCACAGCGTCCCCTGTTACCCCACTATCCCCCCCCACCCCCAGTAACACCCTACTGCACACCGTTCTGAATTGATGGTCGATGGGGTGATAGACCGTGTGCGCGCGGTACAGCGGCACGGGCACGACGGCCTTGTAGGCGGCCAGGAGGCTGTTGAGCATGACCTGCTGCAGGTCGCTCCCCGCGGACATGCCCACGCCGATCAGGCCCCGCATGTTGCCGACCGCCGACGTGACGTGCATGGTCTCGAGCCGCCCCTTGCTGGTCACCTGGGGGTTTTGCAACGGGTGTGGAGTTGCGTTCACATTCGGTTTCTGTGCTCCCACCCTTCACAACAGGGGCGCCCCAAGGGCGCGTGCAGGCTGCATGCACCACGGGGCCCCAGCCCCACAGGCAACAGACAACCGCATCCTGCCATCACCGTCATCGACCCCTACGTCTCCCTCTCGCCCAAGCATGAGCGCCGCCCCAAGCCTTAGTGCCGCCCCGCGGGGCGCCAAGGCGGCGCACCTTGACCGTCCGCCGCGCGTCAAGCAGCAGCTCCTCCCACGGCGCGTCAAACGTTAGGTGCTTGAGCTCAGACGGCAGGGTGCTCTTCTCGATCAGTTCGCGGGACACCAACGAGTACTGCAGAGCGTCCTCCTCCGGCGCCCCGTCGATGGCGCGCGGCAGGGGCCCGGGCCTGGGCAGGCCCGGCCCGTTTGAGGGCTCCGGGTTGTTGAGGGGGTGGTGCGACTCCCAAGGGTCGTACGCCAGGAGCGCCGCCTGCGCCTGCGCCGCCGGCAGCGCCGCCAGCGGGGGGCAGTTGGCGCGCAGCCGGCCGAGCGGCTGGGGCCGCTTTCGGGAGAAGGAGGAGGGGCCGCCGCGGGGACCGCGGCCGGTCCCAGAAGAGGCGCCGCCGCCGCTGTATGGAGGCCGCCCGCCACGCGCTCTGGCGTAGTGGCGTGCGCCAAAGCCACCAAAGCTGTGCAGCTGCTGGTTGCACAGCCGCGCTTGCGCCGGCCATGCTGCAAGCGCATGCTGCTGCTGCTGCTGCTGCTGCTGTTGCTGCTGCTGCTGCTGCGGGCTGGGCCGCAAACGCCACGGGTGCCTGCCGAGCCGACACGAGCCATCCTGGCAATTGTCAGTTATGGTGGCGGCGTCTCTGCTTGAGCAATAGAAGCGCGGGGACGGCGCCGCGTCAAACCCGCCGAGAAACACCCCTGAAGTGGAAGGGGAGCACTCGAGGCTGCTCTGCAGTCGCTGCAGTCGCTGCAGCAGCAGGGCCGCGCTTGCTGCCTCCAGCTGCGGCAGCCCGCCACCGCTGCTCCCAAACAAGCTGGCGCATCGCGCCAGCCACATTGTTAGTATTGACTCGGCAAGGGCGAGAAAGTGTCAAAGGCACATGCGAAGCAGATCTGAGACAAAAAAAGTCGTGCTTAGCAGTTTGCTGAGGGCGTGAATGGCTGTTAAATAATGCAATCAGTAATTCCTCAGCTCTCAGACCCGCAGAATTCGAGTCACGAGTTGGTGGGGTGCCTATTAGTGATGACGATCTGGACGTTGTGTGCATACAGAATCAGCGAAAGGCACAATGTTCGACCAAAACAAGCACCACGGCCATGTATTAGCCCTGTAACCTGTCTAGTAGCCGCAGACGTGTCCTGCGCCCCTCAATGATTTGCCGTTGACCTCCTGAGTCAAGGTCGATGATGTCAGTGCATTGTTGCTGGCGCAGGTCTGCCTCACGGCCCACCCTTTGTGCGAATAGTATGCCTAGAGTCTGGCCTCATTGCGCATTGGCAGACGGAGCCCGTCCTGGATGTGTGAGGCAGCAGCGTGCCATCGCCAGCCGCCTCTCACATCCAGCACCCCTCTTGATTGCTTGCGCCGAGGCAGCCCCCGAATGTCACCAAAGCAGCTAGTGGCATATTTGCTGCGCTGCGCTGTGCACAACCCTTTTCCAAGTGTTCTTGCGTTCGCTGTTTTGGGGGGGGTCAAAGCTGCCAGGATAGCTGTCGTAGCTAGGCCGTTCCAGCCGCTGTCCTGATTTAGCCACAAAAACGGGGTGTGTTTCATGGCAGGCAATCTCACAGGTGTGTCGCTGTGCCGTGAGGCAGCATCCAAAATGTGCGCCGCCTGGTGTGCTGGTGTGGGTCGTCACCAGTTGCGTCACTGCATAACGGCGACCAGCTCCTCCTGGCTAGAGACTGAACGCTTGCATGCCTGCAAATTCAGCTACCACGACAAGATGATAGCGCTCTCGTATTGTTTCACATCGTAAACAGCGTTGTCAGTTTCCCGCGCTCACCAGGGCGGCGACAATCACTCGCAACGGAGAGGAAACCGCGATTGTGCCATTAATAAAGGAAAATTGGTAAGATAAGTCATTCTATCAGGTTAAATTGAACAGAGAGACAGCAGGAGGCCGTGATACCACCAAAGCGTCGCCATGGCGCCCGTGCTACGTCGACAGGGCAGTATGTGGGCCTGTGCGTTGGTCATCATGATAACAGGTGCAAAATCGGGGGTTTTAGGGCGACACACGCACCCAGCTGCAAATGTCACTCGCTGCTTGGGCAGGTGTGCTTCAACGCCGCCGGTGGTGTTGCGAAACGCTCTCACCCTTGCTCTCCTCGCTCACCTCTGCCCAGGCTGTCTGCCCACTGGATGGGCAGCATGCCCAGAGGCCTGCACGTTGTCAGTGAAGCCTGTCTGCGGGGAGGACGGTATGCCGTACATATCTGCATGCGTCGCCGCATGCGCCGGCGTTCGGGTGCTGCGGGAAGGATACTGCACCAAAGGTAAGGGAGTTTGGGCACTGGGTGCCAGACCAAAGCAAAGCGCGCTTTGCACTGCAGTGTACAGGAAAAATTGCACCTATCGGCGCCAAACCTGCAGCAGACGGCAGGCGAAGCAGCTAGTGCGGGGAGCGTCAAGCTGTGCAGGGGACGACACACAAGTCACACCGTCACGTGCACACGCACACTTGCACCTTCAGTCTCACCAGACTATGAAGAAGACAGCTGCGTGACTGCCGCCTCGCTGCTCGGCCCACGCCATCTCCGCCACCCCTCCCCTGTCGCCACCCGCGCCACCCCACCCCGCTGCAGACAAGCACGCCCTGAAATTCAGCCTCCCAGAGAAGCACCTGACCCACAAGGAGCGCGCCGCCGTCGTGACCCGAGACACAATGGAGCGGTTCAAAGCGTCCGGCTTTGCCTACCTGGGCCGCGTGCGGCTCGCCGAGGCGCCGGCGCGGCCGCGCAAGGAGGCAGCTTTTGTCAGCCGCGCCGGCCCGCCCCAGGCGGCGCAGCGGGCCAACGGGACGGGCGAGGGCCGCGCCGCCGTGTCGCCCGGTTGGTCGACGACGAGCGACAAGCACGTGCTGCGCTACACCCCCTCTGGGGACGTGTACTACTCGCGGCTGCCGGCGGCGGCCTACAAAGACCCGCTCCGCCTGCCCCCGACACTCCCGCCAGCGACGTCCCCCTACGCCCCGTCCTCCCCCTACGCGCCCGCCGCTGCCGGCCCCCTCCCCGGCGCAGCCGCCTTCGCGACAGACGCGCCCGGCGCGATGGAGGCTTGGCCGCCGGCCGCCGCAGGCACGTGGGCAGCGCGGGGCCTGAGGATGATCATCGGCGCAGACGAGCGCGCGCCGTGCGGCCAGCCGCCCAAGTTCCCCCTGACGGCGGTCGGCGAGCTCGAGTTTGTGACGCAGGGCCAGGACTACATCTGCTCCGGCGCCCTCGTGCGCCGCGACCGTGTGCTCACCGCCGCGCACTGCGTCTGGTCAATCGCCGAGCGCACGTTTGTCAAGGGCGTCGCGTTCTCCGCTGGCCGCTTCCGCACCGACGGCGGCGCCGTCGTCTCGCCGTTCGGGTCGCAGCGCTGGCGGCACGTCACGCTCATATCCGACCTGCCGAGCGTGAGCGTCGCGGGGTCTGACCTGGCGCTGATCGAGCTTGATGCCGAGGTCAGCCACGAGGCCGGCACCCTGGGCGTCGACGCGAGCTGCGGGCCGCGCGAGGCGCGCGGGCTGACGGTCGCGACGGCGGGGTATGCGTCGGACAAGTACAACGGGCAGTGCGTGACGGACAGCTGCCGCGTGGCGTGGGCCTGCGGTGCGGACGCGACGTCGCACACGTGTGACACGTACATGGTGAGGAGGGTTTGGGGGCTGGCAACTGGCATGTGAGGGGCCAAGGACGGGTTGCGGGCGCAGCTGTAGCGGCTGATGGCGCGTGCTGTGCTGGTGCCTGCTGCCCTTGACGCTGGCTGGTTGGGCAGCCGGCGTCGCCGCACGCGGCTTACTGGCTCTCGTCGGGAGCTCGCAGTTTTCAAATGGCGCTGGAAAGGCAGCCGTTCACGGGGGCCCGGCTGCCATGTTTAGCTACATAGTTCCCTGGTTTGTTGGCTGCTGACAGGCATTCCGACCCACCGCGCCCGCCCTCTATGATGCAGGGCCAGAGCGGCAGCCCTTTCTGGGACGAGCACAACATGGTGCGCGGCGTGCACGTGCGTGGAATGCCAACGGTCAATGAATTTTCAAACGTCAACGCCCAGACCCTCCGCGCCATCCTCCTCAAGTGATGGCTCGTCGCTTTGGGGGCAACAGAAATGTTGCAGTACCACCTTGGACAATCAGGCCCTCCCTTGAGCCGATCTCTTCCTGCCATTTAGTGATTGTTAGTTGCTTCAACCGCCTGCACCCAGCCCAGCCACAATAAGACTCATGCGCACTGAAACTGTGTGCTGTTGTTGCCCATGCAGCAACGTGTCTCTGGCGCTGTTTATAAAGCTGCACAAGCGCTGTTTGCAAGAGCTGCTCAGCCGCATTGTGGACACAGAGTTGATGCAGTGTGAGTATGGGTTGCTGCAATACTCGCAATCCTTTTCAACCCAATAACGCACCTCTGTGTTGGTGGCTGTGCGCACAACATTTGATTGTAAAACCTAACTCCCCTGATTGCTGGCTCATGCTGCCGTGCCTGCGGTAAGCAGTGCACGCTGCCGTGCAACCTCGCACATTCACACCAGCAACGTGCGTGCAGTCGGTCCGGCTGGTGCTGGCAAGCCTTTGATTCACTCTCCACATCAGGATGTTTACTTGGGCAGCAAACATGTGTGAGCTGGGTGCCAGCTGGATGTGTGCAGAGAGATCAAGAAGTGAGCCTGACCAGCGTGCCCCAAGAGGTGGGTGCAGCTCTGGCGGCCGAGTGGTGCGTTCAAGGAAGCAAGCTGCATGTTTCAGCAGCAGCTGCCACGTGTTGCAGTGGCACAACAAGTTATGGTGTGTGAGTCTGCATGGATGGTGTTGGGGTGGCCAAGCCAAGCGTCTTGGCATTGCCAACACAGCACCTCAAGCGGGGACCATCCAGCGGATGCAGAGACCACAGGGCCACGCAGGGCGCCCAGGGAGGAGAGTCCAGCAGGGTTGTTGCACGCAAGACTCACGTGTGATGTGCATTCGCCACAGTGCATTTAAAAGGATGCTCCTCAACTAATTCAAACTCATGCGCCACCCGCCCGATGGAGCCGGCCGCGCCGTCACTGGAAAACCAAACGTGTGCATGACGCCTACCCCAAACTTCGCTGCCGTGCAGAAGGGCGCCGGACGCGAGCTGTTTGCAGGCACCGGCAGGCTGGCTGCGGAACTGCAGCAGTGCCTGCCGGCTGGAGCGCATGCCAGCCAACTAAGGGCCCCAGCTTCCTAGGGCCAGCCTGCCGGGCCGTCACCACCTCGCAATCGCGTTGACCAGGAAGTGAGTCAGCGTCGTCGCACGGTTGCGCGCCTTGCCCTCCACGCCGGCGACGTGGATCAGCCGCACCCGGTTCTTGCCGTCCCACAGCGGCGACCCGCTCATGCCCGAGTACGTGTCGCACAGGTGGGGGTTCGTGGGCTTGTCGCAGTCCAGGGCGCGCTGCTGGCAGGTGGCTGCCATGCAGGTGCCCGACGCCTTGTCCTGGGGGTAGCCCGCCGTCGTCAGGTGCAGGTGGCGGCCGCAGCCCGACGCGACGCCCATGTAGCCGGTCAACGACCCCAGCGGCTTTGCCAGGGTGACGACCGCCACGTCCCAGGTGGAGGGGTCCCTTTTGAATGAGTCAAACACGGTCACGCTCTTCCAAGGCACGACGCCCCAGGGGTTGACGATGCGCCCGCCCTCGCGGTAGCGGCCGGGCGCGTAGTTGAGGTTGAAGTAGAAGGCGCCCCGCTTGATGTTCCAGACGCAGTGCCCGGCGGTGAGCACCTTGTCGGGCGCGATGAGGGTGCCGGTGCACACATAGAGCCCCGTGCTGTCCACCACCTGGATCTGGCCGATGGCGGTGTAAGGGAAGCCCCGCTGGCACTCGGTGCGGTCGTCGCCGCCGACAAGCTCATGCAGCGCGCGCCCCGCAGCCTGCAGGCGGCGCGACGCGCCGGTGGCGGCGGGCGCGGAAAGTGATGCGGCGGCATCCGCCGGCTGCTGCTGCTGCTGCTGTTGCTGCTGCTCGGGCTGCTCAGGCTGCTGCTGCTGCTGGTCCTGCTGATGCGGCTGCGGCTGCGCAGGCCCTGTGAAAAACGCCAGGAAGTCCGCCAGAAGGGTCTCAAAGCGGCGCCTGTCCCGCTTCCCCTTGAGCTTGGGCAGCAGCAGCATCGTCTTGGCCGCGCCGTTCCCGTGGGCCGTGGTGTTGCGCACTGTGCCAAGGCCGAGCGACGCCGCGAACTGCAGGAGCGTCGCGTTGCCCTCGATAGGGGCGAGCGGGCGCGCGTGGTTCATCCATGGCGGCATGTAGCCTTCGATCTTGAACGGCTTGCTTGGGACGTGCAGGCTGTGGTGTGTTGGAGGGGGGAGGTCAAGTGGGCAGCGACGTGGCGGTGTTGTTGTTGCAAGGGAGGCTGATGTAAACGAGCGCACGCATACAACAGTGCCTAATCTTGGGGTGCCTGTCTTGCTTTCACTTGTCGCCGTGCCCACTCTGTCTCTGGCCTAAAAAGCGCAGCAGCCCCAGGTGCTGCCCCTGCACAACTTCAGTGCGCAGGCCCTCCCCCCCTTCAAGCGCACCTTGCAGTGTACATGTCACCCTCCGCGGTGCACCTCACGGCCTTGACCCTCCAGTTCCCCTTGTCGTCACGCTCGGGCAATGGCTGCTCGTCGGCTGGCTCCGGGTGCGGCCCCATCTCGTGGGCCAGGCGGGTGCGGCCGAGGTAGCGGAACCCCTCCTCAACAAACGCGGTGAGGACGGACGCCGGCACAGTGCTGTTGCCGCCGGCGGACTCCGCGCCGGCGGGGCCGGGGTGGGCGCTCATGAACGGGGGCGTCTTGCCTGGGGGTCGTGTGGGGCGGGGGG